TAGTGGTGCTGCAAGAGTTGGAGCTGGAGACCTTGGAGCTGGAGGTGCTAGAGGTGACTCTGCTAGTTCTGGTGGTGCTTCACAGCCGCGGCCATACTTTGTTCCACTTCTTCAGCTGGTTCTTGGTCTCTCACCTTCTACTAGTCCTACTCCTCCCTTAGAGTGTCCACAGCCTGTCCAGTCGCAATCGCAGTTACAGCAAGCCTCCCCAATGCCTGCTCCTTCTTCTTACAGTGGTCCGACCGGAGGTCTTCCTGAGCTTCGTGAGCCTGCGTCTCACCCTGCGTCGCCTGTTCACGCTGCTCGCACTGGTCCTCGTGTTCCGCGTCCGCGTCCTCCTCCTGTCCCCGGCACACACCAAATGGCACTGCGTCCTTCCACAGCTCCACAGCACGTCCCTCTGCCGTCTCCTCCTGCGTCCTCCCTTGCTGACGGTCTGGACCCGGAGTCTGACTCCCTTCGTGCTGCTAGTCCTACTATCACGCGTCTCTTGGCTACTATTGTCACTGACCCTTCCTTTGAGTCCAGAGTTGCGTCTGCCTTAGTTGCTGAGCTTGTCGACTTTGCTGCTCGCTGTCGTTTAGACTACGCTGCTAGTCTTGTTGTTGAGTCTGAGTCTGTCTATCCTCCGTCCGTCGGGGGTGAGTGTGCTCTTGGCAAGGACGTCCTTGAGGACAGGCAAGAGGAGTTTCGGTGTTTTACCGCTGCTTTACCCCATCTGGTGTCCATGCTGCTTGCACCTAAGGGACCCCCGGATGCACCAGACATCCTGACCCCGCGCTCTTATGCAGAGGCGATTGAGGGCCCCTACTCCTCTCAGTGGCAGACAGCCATGGACGCAGAGATGGCTTCCTGGAAGTCCACAAGCACTTACGTCGACGAGGTTCCCCCACCTGGGGCGAACATTGTCGATGGCATGTGGATTTTCAGGGTGAAGCGGCCGCCAGGTTCTCCGCCTGTCTTCAAGGCGCGTTACGTTGCTAGAGGCTTCAGTCAGCGACATGGAGTTGACTACTTTCACACCTTCTCCCCTACCCCGAAGATGACCACTCTTTGGGTGCTACTGCACGTCGCCGCTCAGCGTGACTACGAGCTTCACTCTCTTGACTTCAGCACAGCCTTCCTACAGGGCAGCCTGCACGAGGAGATATGGCTGCGCCACCCACCTGGCTTCACTGGGTCGTTCCCTTCTGGTACCCAGTGGAGCATCCGGCGGCCAGTCTACAGTCTTCGCCAAGCGCCTCACGAGTGGCACGACACACTGAGGACGACGCTTGCGGCTCTTGGGTTTGCTCCTTCTACTGCTGACCCGTCGCTGTCTCTACGCACCGACACTTCGCTGCCGCCGTTCTACATCCTCGTGTACGTCGACGACTTGGTTTTTGCCACTGCTGACACTGAGGCACGGACTCTTGTGAAGTCGGAGCTGCAGAAGAGACACACGTGCACATACCTCGGTGAGTTGCGCAGCTATCTTGGCTTGCAGGTCACTCGGGACAGAGCACGCCGCACCATCACCCTGACTCAGTCACACATGGTGCAGCAAGTCCTTCAGCGCTTCAACTTCACGTACCGGTCCACTCCTCTGCCTGCCGGTCACTCGCTCTCAGCTCTACCTTCGGATGAGTCCGTAGAGCCGAGTGGCCCGTATCCAGAGCTTGTGGGTTGCCTCATGTACCTGATGACCTGCACTTGTCCAGACCTTGCTTACCCTCTTAGCATCCTGGCACTCTACGCTGCGCCCGGGAGACACCGACTAGAGCATTGGAAGGCAGCTAAGAGGGTGATGCGCTACTTGTGCAGTACGTTGGGCATGGGGCTCGTGCTTGGAGGAAGGGTTCCAGTTGTCCTCACTGGTCACGTAGACGCTTCTTGGGTTGACGACTTGGCTACGCAGCGATCGTCACAGGGTTACACCTTCAACCTTGGCTCCAGTTCTGTTTCGTGGCGGTCTATCCGCTCGGCTTCTGTTCTCAGCTCCAGCTGTGAGGCTGAGATCTACGCAGGGGCCATGGCTGCACAGGAGTTACGCTGGCTCACCTACCTGGTGACCGACCCGGGCGAGGTGTTTCGTTCTCCTCCAGTTCTGTACGTCGACAACAAGGCAATGCTTGCCTTGTGTCGCGAGCAGAGACTGGAGCACAGGACAAAGCACATCGTTGTTCGCTTCTTCCTTGCTCGAGAGTTGCAGCAGCGTGGTCAGCTTCGTCTTGTTTACGTGGCCTCTTAGGCCAACACTGCTTATATCTTCACCAAGGCGCTTTTGCCTTGTGATCATCGGCGGTTCTGTACTGTTCTAGGCCTAGTGCCCACTTGGCCTCACTTGCTCACTTCTTGACTTTGCTTGTACTGTGATCTCTATGTATATACCTGCATGCTTACACTTGCTAGGTTGTGAGCACTGTCTTGCTTGTTCTGCTTTATATAACTCTACATGTGAACTGGCCTTGTGGCCGCTTGCTTGTGCTCGGAATGCGTGGTGAAGTTGTGATCCACCCTGAGCTTGCTTTGCTCTTCTTGACTGGTCTTATGACCTCTTGTTCTCCCCCACTTTGGCTATGGGGGTGTGTCAAACTTATGTGCTATAGTCTGTGTAGCCTGTAACGGGGTAGACAATATTGGGTACAACACTTTTAGGTTTACTACTTGTACCCACCTCTTTCCTAGTCCATTTCATTCACTCGTACTATTCTCACAACTACCACACGGGTTCGGTGGATACATAGGTGCAGCTGCTCTTCAATATGCTGCTTGGGTTGCTTCTGCCAAACAGATGGCATGCTGAGATGCTGATACGGTACACGGATGGGTGGGAAGTTATCAGCAAATATATGGAGCACGTCTTAGGTTACAGTATGTTTCAGTCCCACATATACCCAATTTCAAACATGATGCACCAAGATGTTTGCAAAAGAAGTCCATATTACGTATAAGATCCAATACATTAGAAAACCATCAATATTCCTAGTTTATAACCTATCGAGACACTTCACACCATTATCGGTAAGTAAATATGCTTATATATCTAGGTAATTTCCATTGTAGAGGATTTGCATTCGTTCTAGTGCAAAATTCTCCGTCAGGAATCAGCGCCAATTTCCTCCACAAATTGGCGAGCTCGGTTCTTGTACCGAAACCCCGGTTAACGTCACGCACCTCCAGTTCGTCCGTTTCAGTTTCGTTCCGTCACTGGACCAGCATTCTCGATTCTCCAATCAGACGGAAATTGACTGAAATTTTGAGACGAACGATCTATGAAATGCCACTCACCACCAGCCCCCCTGAAAACAAAACCAACGTTTCAGAAGGGAGAATCCAATGGATGTCAAGCGGTTTCTTATGTTTTTGAGAGTTTTGTGTGCGTTACACAGTGGTCTGAGATGTTCACCACCCAACAGCCACCCAAACCCACCTGATAACCAATATCAGCTCCCAAGGGTCCTCCGCCGACAGTTTTTTCCCCCAGTAACTGCCGCCGAGCCAAGCCCCCCTCACCTTTTTTCTTTCCATGAATATTTTTTCCATCATTACTTGAGTTATCCGAGCCTTTGAAAGTGGGAATTACGGACGACCCACTTAGGACGATCAAGCACGCGCTTATCATATCTCCTCCTCGAACGTCCTGTCAAACTCATATGCTATAGTATGTGTAGGTTGTAGTGGGGTATACAATATGGGGTACAACACTTTTAGGTTTTCCTACTTGTACCCACCTGCTTGCTAGTTCATTCATTCCTCATTTCTTCACATGGTATAGAGCAGGTTCCCTAGCGGGAACTTTTCCTAGGGCCCACCACTGAAAATCGAGTTTTCTTTCTTTTTCCTGCCCTGAGATCGAGTCACCCCTGATTGAGGCGCGCCCTGTGTGCCGCCCTCCCCTTAGCGACCCGTCGCGCCGCCCTTAGCACCCCCCCCCCCTCTCACGGCCCCTCGCGACCCCGTCGCCGCCCCCTAGCGGCCCGTCGCACCGCCCTGAGTGGCCCAACGCGGCGCCCTCAGCGGCCCCTTGCGGCCCCACCTCCATGGCCCCGTCGCCGCCCTCTCGCGGCCCCGTCGCCGCCGTTCGCGGCCCCGCCGCCGCCCTTAGCGGCCGCATCGCCGCCCGTCGCGGCCCTGCAGCCGCTCCTCGCGGCCCTGCAGCCGCTCCTCGCGGCCTCGTCGCCGCCCTCTCGCGGCCCAAGTGCCGCCCTCTTGCGGCCGCGTCGCCGCCCTCTCGCGGCCCTAGTGCCGCCCTCTTGCAGCCTCGTCGCCGCCCTTAGCGGCCCCGTCGCCGCCCCTTGCGGCCCCGTCGCCGCCCCTTTCGGCCCCTCCCCGGCCCCTCCCCGGCCCCTTCACCGCCGAACCGCCGAGCCGCCGAACCGCCGAACCGCCGAGCCAGCGAGCCGCCGAGCCGCCAAACCGCCGAGCCGCCAAGCCGCCGAGGCCGCCGTCAAACCGCCACTACCGAGCCGCTGCCGCCGAGCCGCGTCGAGCCGCTACTGCCACTGCCGAGCCGCTGCCACCGCAGTTGCAGCCTTGTTCCTACCGGCGAGCCCCGGTCCTACCCACCCGGACTGGTGAGAGCACTCCCTGCTAGACCACTGCTGTCATGGCTACCCCCAGTGTCCTTACCTTTGATGCTGAGGGTCGTGCTGTTGACTTCGAGGTCTGGGTCGATGACCTACAGCTCTTCCTACAGTGCGATAGGGCAGACGGACTCTCCTTGTTTGATCTCACCTCTAATGCCTCTCCTGCCCCGCCTGCTGATGCTGACAGCACTGTTCGCTCACAGTGGGCCACACGCGATGCTGTTGCCCGTCTTGCTGTGCGTCGCCACTTACCGACCGCTGAGTGTGCGCACTTTAGTCAATACAAGAGTGCTATGACCTTGTACGACGCTGTAGTTGCACGCTAATCTTCCCCTGCCACTACTGCCCTTAGCCGCCTCATGCTGCCGTACCTGTTTCCTGACCTCGCCGCCTTTCCCACTGTCACTGACCTCGTTACGCACCTTCGCACTTATGACACCCGCTACCGCGCTGCGCTTCCTGCTGAGTTCTGCGCCAAGAACCCCCCCCCCCATGTACATCACCCTCTACTACATAGTCACCCGGCTCCCTGACTCCCTTCGCTCGGTCAAGGACCACTTCGTCTCTGTTTGCCCCACCACTCTCATCGTTGACCTCCTCGAGGAGCGCCTCCTAGCAGCTGAGAAGAGTATAGTCGCTGTAGGAGCCTCTCGAGGTGACCCTCGCGCCCCTGTCTTTGAGGGGTGCTCCCCCTCCCCCCTTTTGCCCTCTGTTGCCTCTGCTGCCGCCGTCGACTTCGTTGGCACCGAGTCGGTCGGCTCTGCGTCTGCCCCTAGCGGGCGACGCCGCACCGGCAAGGGCAAGGGGGGCAAGGGCGCTAGAGGGGCTGGCGGGGGCGGTGGAGGTGGCGGTGGAGGAGGCGGAGGGAGTGGGGGTGGTGGTGGGAGTGGTGGCGGGGGTGGGGGCTTCGGTGGCGGCGGTGGCGGCGGAGGCGGCGGCGGCGGTGGCGGTGGGAGCGGAGGAGGAGGCAGTGGCGGCGGTGGCGGAGGTGGCGGCGGAGGAGGTGGAGCTAGTCGGGGTGGCTCTGCGCAGCGGGGCGGCTTCGGTGGTGGTCAGCGCCAGCAAGAGCAGCGCACTCGTGAGACCCCGCCCCCCCAGCAGCTTCGTGAGTGGTACGCTTCGCGTCAGCGGGGTGAGGGTACTGGTCCCTGTACCTACGTCCTGCGTACCGGCGACCGTACGGGTGAGCAGTGCGGGGGCCCGCACCCCACCAGCGCTGCTTCGGCCGCCTGACGGACGCCTGGCGTCTCCAATTCCCTGACGCCACTAAGATCCCTCGCTGGGGAGAGCTGCAGAGGTCGGGGGTTGCTATCTTTGATCTTGATTATGATGCTATTCTTGCTGCCATGTATGCTGTGTCTACTAGTGATGAGGGTGACTGTTACGTGTGTGTTCCGCCTGACCCGGGCATTGAGGCTGCTGTTCTAGGTGCTGGTGAGGCTGCTGCTCTAGGTGTTAGTGCGTCTGCTGCCCCAGGTGCTGGTGAGTCTGCTCTCTTAGGTACCACGTCGGCTCAGGCCTTACACACCTTCACCCTTGACTCGGGTGCTTCCCGCTCCTTCTTTCGAGACCGCACCACGCTTACGCCGCTTAGTCGGCCGGTTGCGGTCTCCTTAGTGGACCCCTCTGTTCTGCGTCTGCACTCTGACAGAGGCGGAAACTTTTCCTCTGCCCTTCTGGGAGCATTCTGTCGTGCACAGGGCATCCACCAGACCTTCACGCTTTCGGCTTCTCCACAGCAAAATGGGATTGCTGAGCGCCGCATTGGCATGGTCATGGACGTCGCTCGTACGTCCATGATCCATGCGGCTGCTCCCCATTTTCTGTGGCCGTTTGCGGTTCGGTACGCAGCGCATCAGATCAACCTTCAGCCCCGGGTCTCCTTGCCGGAGACCTCCCCCACCTTGCGGTGGACGGGGAAGGTTGGCGATGCGTCTGCGTTTCGTGTCGGGGGATCTCGGGCGTTTGTCCGCGACTTGTCTGCGGACAAGCTGTCCCCCCGTGCGGTTCCCTGCGTCTTCCTTGGCTTCCCCCCTGACGCGCCTGGTTGGCAGTTTTACCACCCCACCTCGCGCCGTGTTCTGTCCTCCCATGACGTCACGTTTGACAAGTCGGTTCCTTACTACCGTCTCTTGCCCTACCGCACTGCACCCCTCTGTGAAAATTTAGAAGAGAGAAGAGGGACTGCACTAGCAAGAATAGGGATACAAATAGGAAACCCTAGAAGGGTTGTACTCGCTATAGAGCACCCCACTACAGGCTAGAGCATAAGATAACATTCTGACACACCCCCATAGCCAAAGTGGGGTGTAATCAGCAGAGCAAGCAAAGCAGTACAAGCTCAGGGTGGATCACAATGTCACCACATATTCTGAGCACAAGTTCAAGAAGCAATAGTTGAAAGCTCACAATTATGAGCAAAGCTAGTGGTAGTCACAACGGGCAAGTGAGGAGGAGGAGAGAGAGTGAGAGGAGAGGAGATAGGAGGCGACGGATGAAGCTGCAGACACACGGGCAACAGGAGGCACACTGGCACAGCGGCTACCGGAACAACGCTCCGGAATACTGGAGCAACTGGCCCCGCGGCTAAAGTAGCGGCAGACGAGCAATGGACCCTCGGGCGGCTGGCACAGCTGGCTACGACTGGGCTACCAGACGAAGTCCCCGGAATACAGGTGGTGCTGGCGACATGACGGCAACCTCCATTCAGCTTCCCCAAACTATCCCACTCCCCCTGGCACACACCCACTGCTACACCGCTAGCTCCACTCCCACGCACCCCCCTTAAACCCTAAACCCTAGTCTCCCACTCATCCACCCCCCTCAGCGACAGTTGCAGCAGTGGGAGACGAAGGAGGAGGAGGAGCAAAGGGAGGAATGCACAGCTGCCACCCCCATACTCGCCACCCCCCAAACCCTAACACTGGCAAGGCGGGATGGCGGGTAGAGAGGTTACGGGGGAGGGGGGGGGGGGGACCGACGCGCGGCCTCCCAGGGCGCCAAAACAGGCGGCAGAAGGGGCGGCGCTCGCCCCCCTCCCCCGCAAGCGGCCCCCGAGGGTCGCCTCGACAGGCGACGGGAAAAGGGGGGGGGGGGGGGGGGGGGCGGTGCACGTGCCCTCGGTGCGCCGCGACGGGCGACGCAGCATGGCCGGGGCGCGGCTGGTCCTGGCGCAGCCCGTACGGGCCGCGCGCTGCCTGTGAGGGCGGCGCGCAGGCCACGACGGGCGACGGGGGGCGACGCGCGGGTCCCCGTCGCCCGTCGCGACGCCTCTCGAGGGCGACGCGCCGAGGGACGGGGCAGAAGCCCGCCGCGCGCCTCGGGGCGCACAGCGGGCAGAGAACCGCCGCGCGCCTCGGGGCGCACGGCGGGCAGAAAACCGCCGCGCGCCTCGGGGCGCACGGCGGGCAGAAAATCGCCGCGCGCCTCGGGGCGCACGGCGGGAAGAAAAACTGCCGCACGCCACAGGGCGTGCGGCACAGAGAGTAGTAATGGTAGTTGCAGCGGAAGCAACGAGGTGGTGAGCCCACCCACAGGATCGATCCAAGGGGATCGACCTGCTCTGATAGCATGTGAAAATTTAGAAGAGAGAAGAGGGACTGCACTAGCAAGAATGGGGATACAAATAGGAAACCCTAGAAGGGTTGTACTCGCTATAGAGCACCCCACTACAGGCTAGAGCATAAGATAACATTCTGACACCCTCCCCCCGCCGCCGCTTTTCCTTGCGCCAGGTCCCCCCTCGGTAGACCCCCTCCCCCCTCAGGGTCCTGCCCCGTCAGGTGTGTCCCAGGTAGACGCAGTCGAGCCTGTCGAGGTAGCTCTTGACTCTCGTACTGCTAGGGGTGCTTAGCCTGGGGGTGCTGAGTCTAGGGGTGCTGAGCCTGGGGGTGTTGAGTCTGGGGGTGCTGGACCTGGGGGTGCGGAGCGTGGGGGTGCTGAGCTTGGGGATGCGGAGCCTGGGGGTACGGAGCCTGGGGGTGCTGAGCCTGGGGGTGCGGAGCCTGGGGGTGCTGGGTCTACTCGTGTGGCCTCTGGCGGTGCTGGGTTTGGGGCACCTTCGGGTGCTTCGTCGAGGCGGGAGCTACCCTCTCCACAGGAGCTGCGCGAGTGGTTTGCCCGGCGCAGGATCTGTGCTGCAGGAGCTGGAGGTGCTGCTGTTAATGCTGACCCTGGGGTCGGCACTGGAGTTACTGGAGCCACTAGTCCTGGAGATGCTCGTACTGGCGGTATTGGAGCTGCTGGGCTTGGGGGTGCTGCTGACGGTCCTGCTGGAAATAGTGCTGTCGGAGCTAGAGCTGCTGGAGCTGGAGCTGCAGGGGGTGTTGGCGCTTGAGGTGCTGCTGGCGCTGGTGCGTCTGAGGGTGTTGGAGTTGGCGCTGCTGGAGTTGGAGGTGCTGCTGGCGCTGGTGCTGCCGCTGGGGGTACTGGTACTGTCCCTGCTGGTTCTGGGGGCGCTGCGCGGCCTCGACCGTACTTTGTTCCGCTCCTTGAGCAGGTTCTTGGTCTCCCGCCCTCTACTGGTCTTGCTCCTCCCTTAGAGTGTCCACAGCCTGTCCAGTCGCGGTCACAGTTACAGCCTGCCTCCCCCGTGCCTGCTCCTTCTCCCTACACTGGTCCTACTGGAGGCCTTGCTGAGCGTCGTGAGCCTGCGTCTCGTCCTGCGTCGCCTGTTCGTGCTGCTCGCACTAGTAGTCGTGCTCCGCGTCCGCGTCCTCTTGCGGTCCCAGGCACACACCGGATGGCACTGCGTCCTTCCACTGCTCCTCTGCGTGTCCCGTTGTCGTCTCCTCCAGAGTCCTCTCTTCCTGTCCTTGCTGACCCGGAGTCTGACTCTCGTCGTGCTGCCAGTCCTACTGTCACGCGTCTTCTGGCTACTGTTGTCACTGACCCTTCCTTTGAGTCCACTGCTGCGTCTGCCTTGGTTGCTGAGCTTGTCGACTTTGCTGCTCGCTGTCGTCTAGACTACGCTGCTAGTCTTGTTGCTGAGTCTGAGTCTGTCTGTCCTCCGTCCGTCGGGGGTGAGTGTGCTCTTAGCACGGACGTCCTTGAGGACAGGCAGGAGGAGTTCCAGTGTTTTGCTACTGCTTTGCCTCATGTCGTGTCCACCCTAATTGCCCCTGAGGGAGACCCGGATGCACCAGACATCCCGACTCCTCGATCGTACGCTGAGGCGATCGAGGGTCCTTACTCCTCACACTGGCAGTCAGCCATGGACGCATAGATGGCTTCCTGGAAGTCCACAGGCACCTACGTCGACGAGGTTCCCCCACCTGGGGCAAACATCGTCAGTGGCATGTGGATTTTCAGGGTGAAGCGGCCGCCGGGTTCTCCGCCTGTCTTCAAGGCGCGTTACGTGGCTCGAGGCTTCAGTCAGCGGCAGGGAGTTGACTACTTTCATACCTTCTCTCCAACCCCGAAGATGACCACTCTTCGGGTGCTGCTGCACATAGCCGCTCAGCGCGACTACGAGCTTCACTCTCTTGACTTCAGCACAGCTTTCCTGCAGGGCAGCCTGCACGAGGAGATCTCGCTGCGCCACCCACCTAGCTTCACTGGGTTGTTTCCTCCTGGTACCCAGTGGAGCCTCCGGCGGCCATTCTACGGTCTCCGCCAGGCGCCTCGTGAGTGGCAGAACACATTGAGGACTACACTTGCGGCTCTTGGGTTTGCTCCTTCTACTGCCGACCCGTCGCTGTTTCTGCGCACCGACACCTCTTTGCCGCCGTTCTACATCCTCGTGTACATCGACGACTTGGTCTTTGCCACTGTTGACACTGCTGGACTAGCCCACGTGAAGTCCGAGCTGCAGAAGAGACACACGTGCACAGACCTGGGTGAACTGCGCAGCTACCTTGGCTTGCAGATCACCCAGGACAGAGCACAGCGCACCATTACCCTGACTCAGTCACACATGGTGCAGCAGGTCCTTCAGCGCTTCGACTTCACGTACTCCTCGCCTCAGGCCACTCCTCTGTCTACTCGCCACTTGCTCTCAGCTCTGCCTTCGGATGAGTCCATAGAGCCGAGTGGCCCGTACCCAGAGCTTGTTGGCTGCCTCATGTACCTGATGACCTGCACACGACCTGACCTTGCATACCCTCTTAGCATCTTGGCATGCTATGTTGCTCCTGGGAGACACCGACCAGAGCATATGGCTGCAGCGAAGAGGGTGTTGCGCTACTTGTGCAGTACGTCGGGCATGGGGCTAGTGCTTGGAGGGCGACGTTCAGTTGTTCTCACAGGTCACGCAGACGTTTCTTGGGCTGACGGCCAGGCTACGCAGCGGTCGTCACAGGGTTACACCTTCAGCCTTGGTTTCGGCTCTGTTTCGTGGCGGTCTACCCGCTCGTCTTCTGTTCTCGGCTCCAGCTGTGAGGCTGAGTTCTACGCCAGGGCCATGGCTGCACAGGAGCTACGCTGGCTCACCTACCTGCTGACTGACCTAGGAGAGCCGCCTCGTTCTCCTCCAGTTCTGTACGTAGATAACAAGGCCATGCTGGCCTTGTGTCGGGAGCACAGACTGGAGCACAGAACGAAGCACATTGCTCTTGGCTACTTCCTTGCTTGTGATCATCAGCGCTTTTGTACGATGCTAGGTCTTGTGCCTACTTGGCCTCACTTGCTCACTTCTTGACCTTGCTTGTACTGTGATCTTTCTATACCTGCACTTGCTTGTTTACCTTTATATATGATCTTGCATGTGAACTGACCTTGTGGCCTTGAACTTGTGCTCGGGATGTGTGGTGACGTGGTGACGTTGGGAGAACAAGAGGTCACAAGACCAGTCAAGTAAAGCAAAGCAAAATGCCTTGAACTTGTGCCTCGACGGCTTGATGAGCTTTTGAACGAGGTGGGTTTCTTTTGTTACATTGCATCCAACCGTTCTGGTACAGTTTTAAATTCGTGCTTGATTGTTCTTGCTTTTTGTTTAATCCTGTTACAATATGAAGTTTTATGAGAAGGCATTCCTGTATGCTGCAGGAGCCGACTCTACCGAGTACGAAGTCGAGGAGTCAGAAGAGTCGAAGCGACGCAGCAACCGTCTGACCAAGACTGATGCAGGCAGAAACATTTGAAGTGAAAATTGCGGGAACAGGTTCAAAACGGGTTCCCGCGCCGCACGGTTTGAATTTGCTGTAATTAGGGAATGTAACCCTTAGAGTACATGGCTAGTCTAGGTCCTTTTGTATTCCCGTGTATTCTTATATAAACTCGATGTATGCATGCTCTCATCAACTCAGTCATTTACATTCACTCTGACCTGAGATTCAAAACTTCCGCTGCACACAGTGCTCTGCGATCAACCCTGAGTGATCCTTCGCTAAGTCCCACTTGGGATTGTAACATGGTATGAGAGCTACCCAGGGATTCTTCGCAACATCACTTCCGTGAAATTCGCCGAACCCAAATCTGGCGAGCGGCACACGCTCCAAGGCCAAGATGGCCGGAGGATCTGGAGGCCAAGCAAATCTGACGGCTGAAGGACAAACCAACTCGGTTGCGACGAATGAGGCGACAACCACGATCGGCACTACCGCAGTTGAGCAATTATTCGCTCGATTTTCAACTATGGAGAAAGAACTCCAAGACCTGCGCAAAAGCGATGCGGGAACCTCTTCCCAACCAGTTCAACCTGGACAACCGGCTACAAAAAGCCGTGATACCGCCGCGCACACCTTCTCTCTCGACACAAACAAATCAACAACAACTGCCCCCCGTCCAAGTGATGAAGTCATTAACTCTGCGCAAGCACGCTTTCTCAGCGTTTCAAAAATCAAAACTACTGCCGCATTCGACGGCAAGGATTTCTACACATGGAGTTTTGAGCTTGAGCTCCTCCTACAGACAGCGCAGATCTACCACTACTTCTACGGCTCCAACTCTAAACCGGTGGAAGACACCGACGACGCCAGGGCTCAGTACTACAGCGAGTCCCTCATGGCGTACAGTGTGGTGCTACGAAACATGACGCCTGCGGAACAACTTAGCATCCGCTCCTACAAAGAGAGCGACGCTCCAGCCTTGGAAGCCTGGAAGCACCTCATTGAGGTTTATCAGCCAAAGGACTCGGTCACCGCCAGCAGGCTCCTGCAGCAGTTTATGGAGACAAAGATGGGGCACGGGGAGAAAGCGAATTCTTATATTAATCGCTGTCGCAACATCCGTGACCAGATCACGAAGCATGGGAGCGCGATCTTGGAAGAGATTTTTGTCAACATAGTCCTTCAAGGACTCGGGCCAGAGTGGAAGCCCTGTAAAGCGCTACTCCGACAGCGAGGGATTATCTTAGAAGCCGCGCTATGCGCCGCACTCCTGACTGAACAACAGGACATGGATTCGAGCAGAAAAAGCTCCGCGCCGCGCCGAGAGCGCCTCGCCTTCTACACAGACAACCGCAAAGAGCGACGACAACCAAGGAGCCACTACTGCAAAATATGCAAGGTTTTCGAACATTCAACGGATCGATGTAAATCCCGATCCATCTATCGCCACCCAAATTCCACTCACCACAACAACTGGGTCGGCCGACAAGACGCTCGTCACTCTCAGCCTCAGCATCAGACAACTCGTCCTCCTGCACAACATCAATATCAGCAAACTCAAGGACCTCCATCAGGAGCTCCTAGAAACATCATCGCAAATATGGCGACGCGCAGACGCCGCACTGCTGAACCTGACGAAGAGATCCAAGGAAGACTCCTTGAGCCAGAAGAGGGTTGGAATATACCCCTTGTCAAACTTATATGCTATGATCTATCTAGGCTGTAGTGGGGTAAACACTATAGGGTACAACACTTCTAGGTTTTCCTACTTGTACCCACATGTTTCATAGTCAACTCATTCCTCGTTATTCTCACATGGTATAGAGCAGGTTCCCTAGTGGGACCGTTTCTTCCTAAGGGCCCACCATTAAAAAAAAAAAATCCTAACCTGCCCGAAGCGCGCCTCGCGCTCTAGCCTACCCTACCCTTTCGCAGCCCCTTAGTGGCCTGCCCTGCTCCTGAGGCCCATCGCGGCCCCCCCCTTTGCGGCCCCTTCGAGGCCCCTTAGCGGCCTCCCTTCGCGGCCCCTTCGCGGCCCCTTCTCGGCCCCTTAGCGGCCCCTTCACGGCCCCTTCGCGGCCCCTTCGCGGCCCCTACACGGCCCCTTCGCGGCCCCCTCGCGGCTCCCTTCGCGGCCCCTTCGCGGCCCCGCCCCGCTGCCCGTAGCGGCCCCGCCCTGTCGCCAGTCGCGGCCCCGCCCCGTCGCCCCTGCCTCGTCGCGACGCCTCAACGGGACCCGCGCGTCGCCACCGCCTCGTCGCGACGCCCCTGCGGGACCCGCGAGGCGCGGCTCCTACGTGTCGCGACGCCCCTGCGGGACCCGCGTGGCGTCACCCCTGCCCGCCGCGGCGCCCTGCCCAAACCCGCGCCCTGGAGCAGCCGCCACTGCAGCAGCCACCCCTGGAGCAACCGCCACTACAGCAGCCGCCCCTGGAGCAGCCGCCCCTGCAGCAGCCACCCCTGGAGCAGCCCCCCCTGAAGGAGCCGTCCCTGGAGCCGCCGCCGCTGCAGCAGCCGCCCCTGGAGCAGCCACCCCTGCAACAGCCGCCCTTGGAGCAGCCGCCCCTGCAGCAGCCGTCCCTGGAGCAGCCGCCACTGCAGCAGCCACCCCTAGAGCAGCCGCCACTGTAGCTGCCGCCCCTGGAGCAGCCGCCACTTCAGCAACCGCCCCTGGAGCAGCCGCCCCTGAAGCAGCCGCCCCTGGAGCAGCCGCCACTGCAGCAGCCACCCCTGCAGCAGCCACCCCTGCAGCAGCCGCCCCTGGAGTAGCCGCCCCTGCAGCAGCCGCCCCTGGAGCAGCCGCCACTGCAGCAGCCGTCCCTGGAGCAGCCGCCCCTGCAGCAGCCGCCCTTGGAGCAGCCGCCCCTACAACAGCCGCCCCTGGAGCAGCCGCCCCTGCAGCAGCCGCCCCTGGAGCAGCCGCCACTGCAGCAGTCGCCCCTGGAGCAGCCGACCCTGAAGCAGCCGCCCCTGAAGCAGCCGCCCCTGGAGCAGCCGCCCCTACAACAGCTGCCCCTGGAGCAGCAGCCCCTACAGCAGCCGCCCTTGGAGCAGCCGCCCGTGCAGCTAGCGTGGAGCCCTCGCCCTACAATGGTAGCGGCCTCGCCGTTGCCGCCGTCGTACGCCTGCCCTTCTCGCCACAGGTGAGCACTGCCTTGCCCGTACTGCTGTTACTACTGCTCTTGCTGCTACTGCTCTGTCTACTGCTACTGCTGCTCCTGGCGTGGCAAGATACAGCTCCAGCACCGTCCGCGTGAGTCCCTCGCCCCCCAACAGCTTCGTGAGTGGTACGCTAGTTGGGGTTGTAGGGGTGGCCGCGCTGCGACTACTGCTATTGCTACTTCTGCTGCTACTGCGGCTACCACTACTTCTGTTGCTCCTGGCGGTAGCCAGATGCAGCTCCAGCGACGTCCGCGTGAGTCCCTCACGCCCCAGCAGCTTCGTGAGTGGTACGCTACTTGGGGTTGTCAGGGTGGCCGTAGTGGGAGTCGTCCTGGAGTGAGTAGTTCAGCAGCTGCTTGTAGTGGCCAGGTGCAGCTGCAGCGTCGTCCGTGCGCGGTCCTTTCGCCCCAGCAGCTTCGTGAGTGGCACGCTCAGCGTGGAGGGTTACGGGGTACTGCTCGCTGTCCGTACGTCATTCGCACTGGTGCTCGGACTGGTCAGCCTTGCGGGACGTTTGGTCACGCAGAGTCCCGCTGCTTCGCCCGTCTGAGCGACGCCTAGCGTACGGAGTTTGGCGACGCGGCTGAGCTCCCCGACTGGGTGGAGCTGCTTAGGCTGAGGGTAGATATCAAAACTCTTGACTATGATGCTATCCTCACTGCCATGTACGCATTGCCTACTAGTGATGAGGGTGACTGTTACCTGTATGCATTGAGACTGCAGCTCTAGGTGCCGGTGAGGCTGCTGCTCTAGGTGCTAGTGCGTCTGCTGCCCAAGGTGCTGGTGAGTCTGCTCTCTCAGGTACCACGTCGGCTCAGGCCTTACACACCTTCACCCTTGACTCGGGTGCTTCCCGCTCCTTCTTTCGAGACCGCACCACACTCACGCCGCTTAGTCGGCCAGTTGCGGTCTCCCTGGCACACCCCTCTAGGGGTCCTGTCCTTGCTAGCTTCTCCACTGTCTTACCGTGTCCGGCGGCCCCTTCTGGCACCCTGTCAGGTCTTTACCTCCCCTCGTTCTCTACGAACTTGGTGAGTGGTGCTGATCTACAGGATGTGGGGGTTGACCAGTTCACTCCTACGAGTCAGCGAGTGACCCACTGCACGTGTGCTCGGACGGGCCGACACTTGGCCACGTTTACCCGTCAGCCGGGGTCGAGCCTGTACACACTGACTACTGACTCTCCTCCGGTTGCAGCGTTTGGTCGGGTAGGTGCGTCGGGTCAGGTGTTTGCTGCAGTGTCCAGGTCTGGTCCTGAGTCTACCCCCTGCTCGTGTCGTCTCCTGTCTCACCAGACTCTCCTCTGGCACCACCGCCTTGGTCACCCCTCCCTACCTCGTCTCCAAGGCATGGCCTCCCGTGTCCTTGTCTCTAATCTCCCCCGGTCCCTCCCTCCCCTCCCTCCGGGGCCTGCCCCTACCTGCGTTCCCTGCGTCGAGGGGCGGCAGCGCGCCGCTCCTCACTCCTCCGAGTTTCCTCCGACAGAGGCTCCCCTTCAGACACTTCACCTCGACGTGTGGGGCCCCGCCCGCGTCCGTGGACAGGGTCACGAGCGTTACTTCCTGCTGGTCGTTGACGACTACTCGCGTTACACCACAGTCTTCCCCTTGCGCAGCAAGGGTGAGGTCACTGAGGTGTTGATCGACTGGATCCGCGCAGCTCGTCTCCGGCTCAGAGAGAGTTTCGGCTCGAACTTTCCTGTTCTGCATCTGCACTCCGACAGAGGCGGAGAGTTTTCCTCCGACCTTCTGCGAGCCTTCTGTCGTGCACAAGGCATTTGCCAGACGTTCACGCTTCCGGCCTCTCCACAGCAAAATGGGATTGCTGAGCGCCGCATTGGCATGGTCATGGACGTCGCTCGTACGTCCATGATCCATGCGGCTGCTCCCCATTTTCTGTGGCCGTTCGCGGTTCAATACGCGGCGCATCAGATCAACCTTCAGCCCTGGGTCTCCTTGCCAGAGACCTCCCCTACTCTGCGGTGGACAGGGAAGGTTGGCGATGCGTCTGCGTTTCGTGTCTAGGGATCTCGGGCTTTTGTCCGCGACTTGTCTGCGGACAAGCTATCCCCCCGTGCTGTTCCCTGCGTCTTCCTTGGCTTCCCCCCTGACGCGCCTGGTTGGCAGTTTTACCACCCCACCTCGCGCCGTGTTCTGTCCTCCCAGGACGTGACCTTTGACGAGACGGTTCCTTACTACCGTCTCTTCCCCTACCGCACTGCACCCCTACCCCCGCCGCCGCTCTTCCTCGCGCAAGGTCCCCCCCCCGGTAGACCCCCTTCCCCCTCAGGGTCCTGCCCCCTCAGGTGCGTCCGAGGTAGACGCAGTCGAGCCTGTCGAGGTAGCTGTTGACTCTGGTGTTACTAGGGGTGCTGAGCCTAGGGGTGCTGAGTCTGGGGGTGCTGAGTCTAGGGGTGCTGAGCCTGGGGGTGCTGAGTCTGGAGGTGCTGAGCCTGGGGGTGCTGAGACTGGGGGTGCAGAGCCTGAGGGTGCTGGGCCTACTTGTCTGGAGTCTGGCGGTACTGGGTCTGGAGGTCCTTCGGGTGCTTCGTCCCGACGGGAGCTACCCTCTCCACAGGAGCTGCGCGAGTGGTTTGCTCGGCGCTAGAGCCGTGCTCCTGGAGCTCGAGGTGCTGCTGGATTTGGAGGTTCTACTGCTGCTGAGGGTGCTGGTGCCACGGGTCCCGGAGGTGCTCGTACTGGAGGTACTGGAGCTGCTAGGGCTGGGGGTGCTCCTTGTACTGGAGCTGCTGGCGGTGCTGGGGCTGGCGATGCTGCTGGGGTAGGTGCTGCTGGAGCTGCTGGAGCTGGAGCTGTTGCGACTTCCGGTGGTCCGGCTGGAGCTGGAGCTGATGGGGGTGTTGGCGCTGGAGGTGCTGCTGGAGCTGGTGCTTCTGAGGGTACTGGAGCTGGCGCTGCTGCAGCTGGGGCTGCTACTGGTGTTGGTGCTGCCGCTGGGGGTGCTGGTGCTGTCCCTGCTGGTTCTGGAGGCGCTGTGCGGCCGCGGCCGTACTTCGTTCCGCTCCTTGAGCAGGTTCTTGGTCTTCCGCCTTCTCCTAGTCCTACTCCTTCCTTAGGGTGTCCGTCGCCTGTCCAGTCTGAGTCACAGTTACAGCCCGCCTCCCTACTGCCTGCTCCTTGTCCCTATACTGGTCCTAGTGGAGGTCTTGCTGAGCGTCGTGAGCCTGCGTCTCGTCCTGCGTCACCTGTTCGTGCTGCTCGGACTAGTTGTCGTGTTCCGCGTCCGCGTCCTCCTGCGCTCCCGGGCACGCACCAGATGGCACTGCGCTGCTCCTCTGCGTGTCCCTTTGCCGTCTCCTCCGGAGTCCTCTCTTCCTGTTTTTGCTGACCCGGGGTCTGACTCCCTTCGTGCTGCCAGTCCTACTGTCACACGTCTCCTGGCTACTGTTGTCACTGACCCTTCCTTTGAGTCCACTGCTGCGTCTGCCTTAGCTGCTGAGCTTGTTGACTTCGCTGCTCACTGTCGTCTAGACTACGCTGCTAGTCTTGTTGCTGAGTCTAGGTCTGTCTGTCCTCCGTCCGTCGGGGGTGAGTGTGCTCTTAGCACGGACGTCCTTGAGGACAGGCAGGAGGAGTTCTAGTGTTTTGCTGCTGCTTTACCGCACCTCGTGTCCATGCTGATTGCCTCTGAGGGAGACCCGGAAGCACTAGACATCCCGACTCCGCGCTCTTACGCAGAGGCGATAGAGGGTCCCTACTTCTCTCAGTGGCATTCAGCCATGGACGCAGAGATGGCTTCCTGGAAGTCCACGGGCACCTACGTCGACGAGGTTCCCCCACCTGGGGCGAACATCGTCAGTGGCATGTGGATTTTCAGGGTGAAGTGGCCGACGGGTTCTCCGCCTGTCTTCAAGGCGTGTTATGAGGCTCGAGGCTTCAGACAGCGGCGGGGAGTTGACTACTTTCAGACCTTCTCTCCCACCCCGAAGATGACCACTCTTCGGGTACTGCTGCACATAGCCGCTCAGCGTGACTACGAGCTTCACTCTCTTGACTTCAGCACTGCTTTCCTACAAGGCAGCCTGCACGAGGAGATCTGGCTGCGCCGCCCACCTGGCTTCACTGGGTCGTTTCCTCCTGGTACCCAGTGGAGCCTCCGGCGGCCACTCTACGGTCTCCGCCAGGCGCCCCGTGAGTGGCACGACACACTGAGGACTACACTTGCGGCTCTTGGCTTTGCTCCTTCTACTGCCGACCCGTCGCTGTTTCTACGCACCGACACCTCTTTGCCGCCGTTCTACATCGTCGTGTACGTCGACGACTTGGTCTTTGCTAATGCTGACACTGCTGGACTCGCCCACGTGAAGTCCGAGCTGCAAAAGAGACACACGTGCACAGACCTGGGTGAACTGCGCAGCTACCTTGGCTTGCAGATCACCCGGGACAGAGCACAGCGCACCATTACCCTGACTCAGTCACACATGGTGCAACAGGTCCTTCAGCGCTTCAACTTCACGTACTCCTTGCCTAAGGCCACTCCTCTATCTACTCGCCACTCGCTCTCAGCTCTGCCTTCGGATGAGTTCGTAGAGCCAAGTGGCCCGTACCCAGAGCTTGTTGGCTGCCTCATGTACCTGATGACCTGCACTCGACCTGACCTTGCATACCCTCTTAGCATCTTGGCGCGCTATGTTGCTCCTGGGAGACACAGACCCGAGCACATGGATGCAGCAAAGAGGGTGTTGCGCTACTTGTGCAGTACGTCGGGCATGGGGCTCGTGCTTGGAGGGCGGCGTCCAGTGGTCCTCACTGGTCACGCAGACGCTTCTTGGGCTGACGACCAGGCTACGCAGCGGTCGTCACAGGGTTACACCTTCAGCCTTGGTTCCGGCTCTGTTTCGTGGCGGTCTACCCGCTCGTCTTCTGTTCTCAGCTCCAGCTGTGAGGCTGAGATCTACGCAGGGGCCATGGCTGCACAGGAGCTACGCTGGCTCACCTACCTGCTGACTGACCTAGGAGAGTTGCCTCGTTCTCCTCAAGTTTTGTACGTAGACAACAAGGCCATGCTGGCCTTGTGTCGGGAGCACAGACTGGAGCACAGAACGAAGCACATTGCTCTTCGTTACTTCCTTGTTCGTGAGCTGCAGCAGCGTGGTCAGCTGCGCCTTGCTTACGTGGCCTCTCGGGCCAACACTGCTCATATCTTTACCAAGGCACTTTAGCCTTGTGATCATCAGTGCTTTTGTACGATGCTAGGTCTTGTGCCTACTTGGCCTCACTTGCTCACTTCTTGACCTTGCTTGTACTGTGATCTTTCTATACGTGCACTTGCTTGTTTACCTCTATATAGAGGTAAATAACACCAAGAATTACAACACCTGGTACCTGGACTGCTGCTGCGGACAGTACATGGTGGGATCCACGCGATACGTTTCAAACCTGAGCCGCCCTCCCGCAACTTACGTCACCGTCGCCAACAACGAGCAACTGCGTGCTAATGCGCAAGGCATCGTGGTCCTGCAAGCACGAAACAGCAACACACACATCTTGTTCAACGACATACTCTACGTCCCAAACCTTTGCTTTGATATCCTCTCGGCAGGACAACTTTGCGACTGTGGCGTCATTCTCACCACGGACCTCGCCACACGTGACCTCATCCTCGCCTACGCTCCCCCAGACACCCCTCCCGAGTCATTCAAGTA